GTGTGTGTGTGTGTGTGTGTGTGTGTCTGTAGATGTGTGCGTTGCAGCAGGCAGAGTCGCGGCTGCAGGCCGAGGTTCAGGATGCTCGAGACCAGAATGAGCTGCTGGAATTCAGGGTGCTGGAACTTGAAGTAAGAGACTGTACCAACATCAAACTGTCACCAGGAGGCGACACCAACGATGTCAGCCACAGACGCAAGACCTACATACAGTGACCAGACAGACAGACATTTCACTTAAACACACTTGAGTCCTCCTGTGTATGCATCTGCATCATTCCTTGTTTTTGCACGGCAGCTGTGTGTGTACGCCCTCCACTGGACTGGATTTTTTTATTTTTTTAAATGAAAGAATGTTGTTTTAAGATGAATATAATTTTCACAAGAATAAAAATGTATTTAAGCTCACTATCCGCTCCCATCTTTGTTCATTTTGTCTCATTTATTGCATGAATGTTTTGCATTTTGTTTGTTTTCTTCATGATAGTAAGCTATGTATAATAGATGAAGGAAATATTAACAGCGTAGTTAAGTGATTTTTATTGTTGTTCACCAGAATTTGATAATTTCCAGTTAGCAATAAACATTTAATTTCATTTGCAAAGTTGATTAATAATAACTGAGTCACCATTGGTTGTATCAGCTCGTTTTGCATCTGTTTAAGTGGCAGTTCTGTCTGAATGACAGTCATGAGTTTCTGCATGTGTTTTTAAATCCCTCATTAAGTTTGGTTTGGTTTTTTATTTAAATCGATGGGTTTCCACCTCCCTCATTTTGGCCGATCCTGACCATGTTTTGAGTGTCATGTAAGTAAATCCCACATTCACTCCCACTTCATTCTCCTTTTGTGTCTCACTGCCTGACACCAATGGACCTTTATGATGACTTTTAACATCTCTGTAGCACTGGTAGTTGATTATGTTTTACTCTGTGTGTGTGTGTGAGTTTTGACGCTGTATGTACACTCTGTAGGAGAGGGAGCGCAGATCTCCTGCCCTCAACCTCCACATGTCTACGTTTCCTGAGAACAGCAGCAGCGCCTTGCAGATCTACTGCCACCAGCAGGGGGTCAAGGTGAAAACACTAACCAATCTAGACTCTTTTTCCCTTTAAGTCTCTTTTATACCTTTTACACTCTTTTTGTATGATGTCTTTTGACCTCTGTGCAGGATGTAATCATTCCTGAGCTGATGAAGAAACTGGATATCCTGGGCGATAATGGGGTGAGTTAAAAAACATTATATTAACCACTGGGGCATACTTTAAAAAAAATGTTAGTCATAACCGTTATATCTGATAACTCGAGCTCCTTGTACTTCCTGTAGAATCTCAGAAACGAGGAGCAGGTGGCAGTGATCCAGGCAGGGACAGTGATATCTCTGTGTGAAAAGGTCAGTTTCTCAGACTAGACATCTTTACTGACACATTGTGGACAAGCTTTGCTATAACACAGCAGCAACACAGCCACTACACTGAAGTAAACATGGATGGAAGTGTTTTTTTATATATAGTTTCGTGCTTCAAAGAAAGTAACAATCCCACATTGCTCTGCATTTTGTTCCTTTACAGTGGCTGAAGCAAATAGACAGCACAGAGGCTGCACTCACACAGAAGATGATCGACCTGGAAAATGACAAGGTTAAAAAAAAATCTATTTGCCATTGGAGTAACAATCTTCAAATGTTTTGACTGTCTCTGTAGGTGGTGTTTCATACATATAATTGACTTTCAATTGTTTGTACACAATATAAACTATTTATCTTCTTGTTTGTATGCCTCTACAATGGAGACAGCCAGTGGACAGAGACATCAGATTTTGGTGGTCAAAGTACAAGTCACTGTGACCTCACAAAACTCAAAACTGTTTTGCCTCATTAACGCATTAATAGAACTCCTCAAACGAATCCTTTCACATTTGGCACAAATGTTCACTTAGACTAATGGATTAATTTATTAGATTTGAATGATCAAAGATCAAAGATCATGGTCATGGTGGCCTCACAAAACAAGTTTATATATATATAGACATATGTAGACTAAAACTGCACTGTTGGAGAAGGAATACAACAATAGGGTGTTATTTTTCTAGTCTGCCCATCCAGACTGAAAAATAACACCCTATGGTATCTTTGATTTTACATTATATTCTGTCCTATAATCTTACATATTATCTCATGTTGTTGCAGGAGCTGTTTAGTAAGCAGAAGGGATTTCTAGAGGAAGAGTTGGACTATAGGAAGCAGACCCTGGACCAGGCCTACATGGTATGGAGCCAGCGGCACTATGACCTGTCCCTTTATACAGAAGATGGCCAAAGCCACTGTAATAGACCCAAATGCCTTCATATATATTTATAACATTCACCAGTGGTTGTGTACGAGACACAATGGTTCATGATAAAACAATTCAGGAATGCAGGGGTGCTTCATTTTCATATCAGCATGACACATAAACATGGATCCCATTAATCATCATGAATGGAACATGCTCCATGTAGGTACAATTTGTCATATTGTGTCGGGATACTGCATCTTTTATCGCTGATGTCTAAATTCAATGAATAATCACTATTTTGTTTCTTGATTTTTTTGGCCTAATTCTCCTTGGAAAGATAGAAAACCAATCACTGATCTTCTTACATTGCAGAAAATGTGAAGATACCATGCCTTTATGAATATCCTATGCAACTTGGTTTAAGTGGACACTAGATTGTGGATGTTTATTATGATTTTAATGTACCTGATTTACCGTCCCGTAGAATTAAATACCCAGAAAGCAACACTGAGGACACTGCATAGAAGTCTAACTATTATATTTGGTCAGTTTTGGTGTTGGTTTGTGTTTTTGGTCCCACTTAATATTGTTTGGGTGAAAGTGTAATGTTTACATGGTAACTTGGTAAAGAGTTTGTTGTTAATATA